TATACCATAGTTGTAGACGCCTATAAACTTTCACACAAAGCAAATCAATATACACTTATTGGGAGTTTTAATTTTACCAACACCTATGTAGCAGAAATACATTTTGGGCCTACAATTTATAACTAACTTTGAGTTTACTATAATATTTTTTATAGCTGAACAGTAAACATATGTTTTTTCTTCATCTTGAGTTTTTTCAAATATTTAGTATTTGTATTTTTTTCAAAATGTTTGTTATTGTTTTTTTGTTTATAGCGTGAAAAAATAAAAAGAGGTGATCAAATACCCACCAAAAGGGAAAGCTCTAATTTGTGTGAAAAAAAGGACGTAATTTTGTTTTGGGTGCAGCAATGCATGACCCCCGCCGCGCCGCGCAATATCAGTTGAATTGGTGCAGCACCGAGTAGCAAAAAGAGCCTGGTCATTAAGGGGGGTAAATCCTCAGGAGGCGCAAGTGGTTTAAAGAATAATTCTACCTTTTATACCATGCTGCATTTTATACCCATATTTAAGGTGTACCATGTAACCTGATGCATAGCTTCCCCTCAGTCCTTACAGCTTCTGGGGGGCAGGATCTGCCCTGCACAGCCCACACACAAACTGCATCATTCATTCACTAGAGAGCTATAAATAAATACAAATGATAAATGACAAGTCCCATCTGCCTCTGTGGCAGAAGGACTTGTAGTTATCAATGAGAACTCGAGTGTTGTAGTCCATTGACACTCTGTCAGCTCAATGAAACTCTTCATTTACAATCTTCTTTTCTAGAGGAAGATCTATAGAAAAAGAGAACAAAACCAGAATACAGTAAATTCCAACCCTTTCTCAGCCTTATATCTGCTCTGACCTATTTCATACGCTATATGCTCGATGCTGGTGGTGTCTACATATAGAGATTTCTTTCTAATAACTAAAAAATTAAAAATTACAAAACTGTGTGACACTTGCAGTGAATAAAATCTAAATAAATGCACAAGCAGTGAATAATAGATCTATATGTGAACAATTGTCCACACAGTGCTCCAAACCAAAACAAGGTCAAATACAGACCTAATAAGTGACTAACAAATAGTGACCCAATCCTAATGAGGGATAAATGGATAAGTGACCCTTAGTCCCCACAAGTGGGACTGTAACCTATAAATGCATTAATCCCTGTGGAGGAATGACAACAACTGGGACTGTTCATTAAAATATAAATAAAGTCCAATGAGTATAACATATGAACACAGTTGCAGTCCTTCAGTCTTCTGGATCATGCAAACAACCTTGACCACACCGGTAGGTGCTCCTAAAATATGGCTGCAATGGCCTCTCACCTCCACTCAGCGACCCTTAGGGGCCACAGAGCCTTGAGGATCTCTCCTGGATAGGGTCTTCAGTTGGCCTTTACAAAAGAAGTGTTCTGCACGCACATGTTGGTAAGGCCAATGCTCAGCTAGGAAAGATGGGTGCAAGCCCAGTGGGAAATCCGGATTCATGGGTAGGGAAATAAGAGGATTAGGGGCATCTGAAATGAAAGCAGATTTGCACGCCAACCGAAAGATCTTCAAGGTCGCTCCTATCAATGGCCATTACTCCATACTCTTACTACTTGACCTCTGTCAGGGCTCCGGGTATGACCAGAGGTATGTGAACTGACGCAGGGAAGCGCAGGCTTCAGATATGTTATAAACAATATAATTTATTAATACTAACAATACATAAACGCAGTGCAATACTAAAACATAACAAAAGTGCAAACGAACCAAACCAAACCACCCACAGATAACAAAACATACAATGCAAGCGTAGTCAGGCAGGCTGGGTCAATAACAATCGGGCAGGTAGGAACAGGAGGAGCAGGCAGAGAGTAGTCAGGTCACGAGCCGGGTACAGCAACTAACGGGCAGGTAGGTACAGGGGGTCAGGCAGAGAATGGTCGGGGTCACAAGCCAGGGATCAAACAGGAGAAGTCAGCAGAGGTCCGGATCAGGCAGGGTCGGCAATGAATCAGTCAGACAGGAACAGGAACAGGAACAGGAATGCAGGTAACAAGATACAGGGGTCCATGGAAAAACACACACCAAGGCACAGACTGCAGGTCTGGCCATCCCTTAAATACACCTGCAATCAGCCTCAGGTGTTTTTGGCTGACTTGCAGGGTTGAGTCTCTGATTGCTGAGAGCACCCGCTGGCCAGCCCTGGTACTGCAGCCCACAAGGCAGGTGAGTCCCACCATTATTGGCAAGTCCATTCCTGACAGTACCCCCCCCCCTCAAGGAGAGGCCTCAGAACGCTCCAAACAATCCTAGCTGGGCAAAATGTTCCACCGCCCGGGTCTGGTAACTGGCGGGATATCAAAGACTGGCATATCGGGCAGGACTCCGGGCAGCGGCACATCGGGCGGACTCCGGACAGCGGCACATCGGGCTGGACTCCGGGCAGCGGCACATCGGGCTGGACTCCGGGCAGCGGCACATCGGGCTGGACTCCGGGCAGCGGCACATCGGGCTGGACTCCGGGCAGCGGCACATCGGGCTGGACTCCGGGCAGCGGCACATCGGGCTGGACTCCGGGCAGCGGCACATCGGGCTGGACTCCGGGCAGCGGCACATCGGGCTGGACTCCGGGCAGAGGCACATCGGGCTGGACTCCGGGCAGAGGAACATCGGGCTGGACTCCGGGCAGAGGAACATCGGGCTGGACTCCGGGCAGAGGCACAGGGCCCCCAGGAGGAGCGGCAGGCACAGGGCCCCCAGGCGGAGCGGCAGGCACCGAGCCCCCAGGCGGAGCGGCAGGCACCGGGCCCCCAGGCGGAGCGGCAGGCACAGGGCCCCCAGGAGGAGCGGCAGGCACAGGGCTCCCAGGAGGAGCGGCGGGCACTGGGCCCCCAGGCGGAGCGGCGGGCGCCGGGCTCCCAGGCAGAGCGGCGGGCCCTCAGGCGGAGCGGCGGGCACCGGGCCCCCAGGAGGGGCAGCAGGCACCGGGCCCCCGGGCAGAGCGGCAGGCATCGGGCCCCCAGGTGGAGCGGCAGGCGCCAGGGCCCCCCAGGCGGAGCGGCGGGCGCCGGGCCCCCAGGCGGAGCAGCGCGGGCGCCGGGCCCCCAGGCGGAGAGGCGGGCGCCGGGCCCCCAGGCGGAAGCACCGGGTGCCGGGCCCCCAGGAGGGGCGGCAGGCACCGGGCCCCCAGGCGGAGCAATGGGCACCGGGCCCCCAGGTGGAGCAGCGGGCGCCAGACCCCCAGGAGGGGCAGCAGGCACTGGGCCCCCAGGCGGAGCAGAGGGCACCGCGTCATCAGGCACGACAGCGGGCATCAGGTCACCAGGCATCAGGTCATTTGGCTCGCCAGCGGGCACCGCGTCATCTGGCAAGGCAGTGGGCACCGAGTCACTAGGGCACGACAGTGGGTTCCGAGTCAACTGGCTGGACTCCGGGCAGAGGCACATCGGGCTGGACTCCGGGCAGAGGCACATCGGGCTGGACTCCGGGCAGAGGCACATCGGGCTGGACTCCGGGCAGAGGCACATCGGGCTGGACTCCAGGCAGAGGCACAGGGCCCCCAGGAGGAGCGGCAGGCACAGGGCCCCCAGGCGGAGCGGCAGGCACCGAGCCCCCAGGCGGAGCGGCAGGCACCGGGCCCCCAGGAGGAGCGGCAGGCACAGGGCCCCCAGGAGGAGCGGCAGGCACAGGGCTCCTAGGAGGAGCGGCGGGCACTGGGCCCCCAGGCGGAGCGGCGGGCACCGGGCCCCCAGGAGGGGCAGCAGGCACCGGGCCCCCGGGGCAGAGCGGCAGGCATCGGGCCCCCAGGTGGAGCGGCAGGCGCCAGGCCCCCAGGCGGAGCGGCGGGGCGCCGGGCCCCCAGGCGGAGAGGCGGGCGCCGGGCCCCCAGGCGGAGCACCGGGTGCCGGGCCCCCAGGAGGGGCGGCAGGCACCGGGCCCCCAGGCGGAGCAACGGGCACCGGGCCCCCAGGTGGAGCAGCGGGCGCCAGACCCCCAGGAGGGGCAGCAGGCACTGGGCCCCCAGGCGGAGCAGAGGGCACCGGGTCATCAGGCACGACAGCGGGCATCAGGTCACCAGGCATCGGGTCATTTGGCTCGCCAGCGGGCACCGCGTCATCTGGCAAGGCAGTGGGCACCGAGTCACTAGGCACGACAGTGGGTTCCGAGTCAACTGGCATGACCGCGGGCACTGGGTCAGACATTGGATCGTCTGGCTCGACAGCGGGCATCGAGTCACCAGGCATCAGGTCATTTGGCTCGACAGCGGGCACCGCGTCATCTGGCAAGGCAGTGGGCACTGAGTCACCAGGCATGACAGTGGGCTTTGAGTCAATTGGCACGACAGCGAGCACCGGGTCATCAGGTATCGGATTGTCTGGCTTCAACAGCAGGCACCGGGTCATCTGGCGCTGGATCGTCTGGCTCGACAGCGAGCATCGGGTCACCAGGCATGACAGCGGGCACTGGGTCATCAGGCATTGGATCGTCTGGCTCGACAGCGGGCATCGGGTCACCAGGCATGACAGCGGGCACTGGGTCATCAGGCATTGGATCGTCTGGCTCGACAGCGGGCATCGGGTCACCAGGCTCGACAGCGGGCATCAGGATCACCAGGTATGACAGCGGGCACTGGGTCACCAGGCATCAGGTCACTTGGCTCGCCTGCGGGCACCGCGTCATCTGGCAAGGCAGTGGGCATCGGGTCACCAGGCACGACAGTGGGCTCTGAGTCAACTGGCATGACCGCGGGCACTGGGTCAGACATTGGATCGTCTGGCTCGACAGCGGTCATCGGGTCACCAGGCATCAGGTCATTTGGCTCGACCGCGTCATCTGGCAAGGCAGTGGGCATCAGTCACCAGGCACGACAGTGGCTCTGAGTCAATTGGCACAACAGCGGGCACCGGGTCATCTGGCAAGGCAGTGGGCATCGAGTCACCAGGCACGACAGTGGGCTCTGAGTCAATTGGCACGACAGCGGGCACCGGGTCATCTGGCAAGGCAGTGGGCATCGAGTCACCAGGCACGACAGTGGGCTCAGAGTCAATTGGCATGACAGCGGGCACCGGGTCATCAGGTACCGGATCGTCTGGCTCGACAGCAGGCACCGGGTCACCAGGCATGACGGCGGGCACTGGGTCATCAGGCATTGGATTGTCTGGCTCGACAGCGGGCATCAGGTCACCAGGCATGACAGCGGGCACCGGGTCATCAGGTACCGGATCGTCTGGATCGACAGCGGGCACCGGGTCATCTGGCATTGGATCGTCTGGCTCGACAGCGGGCATCGGGTCACCAGGCATGACAGCAGGCACTGGGTCATCAGGCGTGATAGGATCATCAGGCTGGATCAGTTCATCAGGCTGGGTACAGACATCAGGCTGGGTAGAGACATCAGGCTGAAGTGCGGGTGCCGAGGCACCAGGCTGAACCATGGAAGGCAGGTTCTCAGACGGCAGGCTCACCGGTTTGGATACTGGCAGGATGGTACTGGTTGGAAAGAATTTTCGCTTCTTTCTGGTTTTAACTACTGGAGCACTGCAAGTAAACGCAGGTCTGCAAACGAATGGAGCAGCTGAGGACAGAGAAGAGCTGGAAGATGGAACAGAGGAGGGAGCAGCCGCCACAGAGGACCTCTCTACAGGGCCAAAGAAAGGATAGTTTCAGCGAGTGGGAGCAGGGGACTGGTATGTGGTAGTTAGCAGAGTATACTGGGCCGTCACTGGGGGTGCTGTCGGGGATGCAGGAAGAGTGCCTTGAGCAGAGGAATGACGTTGCAAGCTGACTGAGGCTGGGTGCAACAAGTCTGACCATGTCTGCAGTATGGGTTGAACAAAGCTGAGCTTACACAAAGCCTGTCTGGTCAAAGACTGCACTGCGTTAATACAATCCCTTAATACCTGTGGTGAACATGCAGCATAATGCTCCAAGAAGCAATCCACATCATCCTCTAATAACCATACCAGGGACTCTACCTGGTCTGCACTAAATGGTGGCAAAAAGTCATTCCTGCTTTCAGGGGTACCAGATGAAGCCAATTCTACACAAACCTGAATCAAAGGTTGCACCTCAGAGAACTCTGTGCCCTGATCTACTAGAACATGAGCGATCCGTATACATTCTAGCAGTTGATCCCGGGTATACTCCTCAGAGTCTGATAAGCATATTCTCTGTCATCAAAAACCAGCAGCGACAAATACACAACCTCATCAAGATCCATCCTTCCAGCAACAAGCCAAGATGGCTTCCCTGTGCAGCCACTTCTGGTCAGGATTGGCCTTGGTGTAATGTCAGGGCTCCGGGTATGACCAGAGGTATGTGAACTGACGCAGGGAAACGCAGGCTTCAGATATGTTATAAACAATATACTGTAATTTATTAATACTAACAATACATAAACGCAGTGCAATACTAAAACATAACACAGTGCAAACGAACCAAACCAACCACCCACAGATAACAATACATACAATGCAAGCGTAGTCAGGCAGGCCGGGTCAATAACAATCGGGCAGGTAGGAACAGGAGGAGCAGGCAGAGAGTAGTCAAGTCACGAGCCGGGTACAGCAACTAACGGGCAGGTAGGTACAGGGGGTCAGGCAGAGAATGGTCGGGGTCACAAGCCAGGGATCAAACAGGAGAAGTCAGCAGAGGTCCGGATCAGGCAGGGTCGGCAACGAATCAGTCAGACAGGAACAGGAATGCAGGTAACAAGATACAGGGGCCCATGGAAAAACACACACCAAGGCACAGACTGCAGGTCTAGCCATCCCTTAAATACACCTGCAATCAGCCTCAGGTGTTTGGCTGACTTGCAGGGTTGAGTCTCTGATTGCTGAGAGCACCCGCTGGCCAGCCCTGGTACTGCAGCCCACAAGTAAGGTGAGTCCCACCATTATTGGCAAGTCCATTCCTGACAACCTCTCTGCAGCTTTTGATACGGTTGACCATCCCCTCCTCCTCAAAAAACTCCACTCTCTTGGCCTCTGAGACTCTGCTCTCACCTGGTTCTCCTCCTACCTATCGCAGCGCTCCTTCAGCACTACCTATAACGCTGCCTCCTCCTCTTCACTCCCTCTTTCTGTAGGGGTCTCTCAAGGTTCCGTCCTTGGACCCCTACTCTTCTCCATCTACACCTCCTCCCTTGGTCACTTCATAAACTCCCATGGCTTTAAGTACCATCTCTATACTGATGACACACAAATCTATCTTTCTACCCCTCACCTCACCCCTTCAGTCTCCTCTCGCATTACTAATCTACTAAGCGACATATCGGCATGGATGTCACTCCACTTCCTCAAACTCAATCTTTCCAAAACTGAGCTCTTAGTATTCCCTCCAGCCCGTGCCCCCTCCCCTGGCTTCTCCATCAAGATCAATAACACAATCATCAGTCCCTCCCCTCATGCCAGGGTACTAGGTGTAATCCTAGACTCCCATCTGTCCTTTCATTCCCAAATCCAATCGCTGTCCAAATCTTGTAGACTTCACCTCTGCAACATCTCCAAGATACGGACGTTCTTAAGCTCGGAAACTACTAAGCAACTTATTCACTCCCTTGTTATCTCTTGCCTTGACTATTGTAACTCCCTCCTCATTGGCCTACCTCATCGCAGGCTATCCCCTCTTCAATCAATCATGAATGCTGCTGCCAGACTCATCCACCTAAGTTCTGTATCAGCCACCCCTCTCTGCCAATCCCTCCACTGGCTTCCCATTGCCCAACAGATAAAACTCAAAACATTAACAATAACATATAAAGCCACTTATTACTCTGCCCCAAATTACATCACCAATCTTGTCTCCAAATATCACCCAAACCGTACTCTCCACTCCTCGCACGACCTCCTGCTCTCTAGCTCCCTTGTCTTCTCCTCCCATGCTCGTCACCAAGACTTCTCCAGAGCTTCCACTATCCTCTGGAACTCTCTACCCCAATTTATCAGACTATCGCCTACTCTGCTCACTTTTAGGTGATCTCTTCAGGGAAGCCTATCCTGCCTTCAGCTAATAATGAAATCTTCTACTCCTCCTACCAGTCATTCCCCCCCCAGTTACTACCTTTTGTACCACTATACTCCCTCCTAGATTGTAAGCTCCAAGGAGCAGGGCCCTCCTATCCCTCTTGTATTGAACTGTATTGTCTCCCGTTATATTATAAATCGCTAAGCAAACTGTTGGCGCTATATAAATCCTGTATAATAATAATACTAATATTATTAATAATAACTGTTTAGTGTTTTGCAGAGGGGGTTTACTAATGGGTGATTTTTTGCCTATCCCGGAGTTCTTCTTTAAGCATGGACAAAAAACCTTTATCACTAATCGAAAAACATACCACATTAAATCTTTCCAAAATTGTTCATCGCAATATATTGTTTATTGCTTGACCTGTCCCTGTGGACTCCTTATGTAGGGTGCAATATTAGGACACTTCTATTAGGTTTCGGGATTATTTGATGTTTATTGAGGAGAATACTGTGGCAGGTCAGCAACTGCAGCCAAAATCACGTATATGTACATGGTTTTGCTTGCAGGTGCTGACCTGCCCCAATATACATACTGTGGCTGGTCGGCGAGAGGTTATTGTTGTAATTATAATCACATTTTATAACTTTTGGTTTTACCAGTGTTTTTATTATTTTTTTTATTTGTGTCTTGTTTAGGAGGCTTTACAACTTTAAAATATTTTATACATACTGTTTGTATTGACCTTGCAGATGTGTTTAGATATGTTACCAAGTTTTGTTATACATATATTAGTAGATATTAGATAGATAGATAGATAGATAGATACCGTATTTTCCAGCATATAAGACGACTTTTTACCCCTTGAAAATCTTCTCAAAAGTCGAGGGTCGTCTTATACGCCGTTATACGGCATACTGACACTTTTTAGGGGGGCGGCGCGGTGCCGCCGCCGCCCCCCCCTTCCAACGGAAGGGACACTAAGTACAGGGGTGGGCAGGGGCTGTTTCTTACCTGGCCCCGGTCCCACGACGATCCGGTCCAGGAAGCGCGGCTGCTCCTTCAGTTCGGTCACTGGATGTTCGCGCGGCTGCTCGGCTCCGCCTCCTCACCGGTGATTGGCCGCCAGAACTGTAGCTCAGGAAAGGCACGCAGGCGGCCAATCACCGGCGAGGGGGCGGAGCTGAGCGGCCCCACGAAAATCGAGTGCAGGATCAGCAGGTAAGTGTTCAGTGTAGAGGTGCTGCTGCAACCACATATGCTGGCTGCAGCAGCACCATACTAGAACAGGGTCAGCAAGTGTAATTGGTGTCAGTGGGAGGAATAGTGCCCCATCATTGGTGTCACTGATACCAATGATGGAGCACTATTCCTCCCACTGACACCAATGATGGGGCACTATTCCTCCCACTGACACCAACGATGGGGCACTATTCCTCCCCCCCACTGACACCAACGATGGGGCACTATTCCTCCCCCCCCCCACTGACACCAACGATGGGACACTATTCCCCCCCCACTGACACCAATGATGGGGCACTATTCCACCACCCACTGACACCAATGGTGGGGCACTATTCCACCCCCCACTGACACCAATGATGGGACACCATTCCTCCCACTGACACCAATGTTTGGGACACTATTCCTCCCACTGACACCAATGATGGGACACTATTCCCCCCACTGATACTAATGATAGGGCACTATTCCTGCCACTGATACCAATGATGGGGCACTATTCCTGCCACTGATACCAATGATGGGGCACTATTCCTGCCACTGATACCAATGATGGGGCACCTATTCCCCCCACTGATACTAATGATGGGGCACTATTCCTGCCACTGATACTAATGATGGGGAATCTATTCCCCCCACTGATACTAATGATGGGGCACTATTCCTGCCACTAATGCCAAGGTGGGGCACTATTCCTGCCACTAATACCAATGATGGGGCACTATTCCTCCTACTGACACCGATGATGGGACACTATTCCTCCCACTGACACCAATGATGGGGCACTATTCCTCCCACTGGTGTGCATTGGAAGAGGGGTAGTCTTATATGGCGAGTATAGCCCAAACACTACATTTTAGCAGGAAAAGTAGGGGGTCGTCTTATACGCCCAGTCATCTTATACGCCGGAAAATACGGTAGATAGATAGATAGATCCATCCTGTTTTGTGTAATTTTTATTGCTGAGCCTTTTCATAGCATTATATAGATTGCACATTGTAGAGGAGGGGACGGCTTGACAAAGAAGACAGCAACTTTGAAATGCACTGCCATACCCCCTTATTCACCCCCAACATGTTACGTCACTTCCTGGGTTTCCCATGCAGTCATTCGGATCCTGTGGTAGCGGTGGGCTTTGGCAGGGATACCTTCCTTCACACTGAAAGCTTTACTGCAGAACAAAATCGACTGCATTTCAAGCCTAAAGAATCTAAAGAATTATTATTATTATTATACAGTATTTCTATAGCACCAACAGTTTGCTCAGCGCTGTACATTACAATGGGGGAC